GATCTAGGAAGCAACTCAAGGTTAAAATTGAGGCCTTGTCCTAGGAAACAGGACCCTTGTTGACTTAAGGTGCTCAGCCCTCTGGGCCCCACTCTTTCCTCTGCGGATTCACAAAGACATTCAATCCTATTGTTCTTAACATGAATTTTCGAAACTCTGTGTTAGTCTTTGTTGGGAAAACATCATTTCCCTCAACACCAGATGAAATCCAATCCCATGTAACCACCCTCAGGATGACATGGGCCTATAGGCTCTCTCCCCTCACAGTCAGCCCCACAACAAGGAGGACATTGTTCTGCTCTGATTCTGGTGCCAGGAGCTAAGGTGAGAAAAGGACAGCCCCAGAGTCATAGGATTATGATTTGCCTGTGCCGAAGGATCCATAGAGGTTAGCTAGGTCAAGGCCTTCCATTTACAAATGAAGAAATTGAAGCCCAGGATGGGGAAGATGCCTGTCCAATATCACACAACAATTTAGGGGCAGAACCTAAGTCTCTAGAGTCAATTTCTCTCAGGCAGAGGAACTTTGTAGCTTGAGAAAATTTAAATACAGATCCCATTGCTTGGTATGATTTAGCACAGGTCAGGTATGGGATGTCTTGGAAGAGAATCCCGGCTCTTTCATTTTCTAGCTTTGTGTGTGTGTGTGTGTGTGTGTGTGTGTGTGTGTGTGTGTGTATTTGCTAGTGTGTGACCCTTCCCGCTTTCTGGGCCTCAATTTTCTCATCTGCAAAATAGCTAGTAACGCTTGCATTCCCCTTTTCACAGATTTGTTGGGACATTGCTCTGTAAACCTTAAATCACTATATATATATATGTTTTTTTTTTTGGTGAGGCAATTGGGTCTGAGTGACTTGCCCAGAGTCACACAGCTAGTGAGCATTATGTGTCTGAGGCCAGATTTGAACTCAGGTCCTCCTGACTCCAGGGCCAGTACTCTGTTCACTGCATCACTTAGCTGTCCCAATCACTGTATAAATTTGATGTATTACTATAAAGTTCATAGAAACAAAGCAAGAAGGAACCTTGGACACCCCTGGGTACCACAACCCCCTCATTTTACAAATTAGGAAACTGATCCCAGAGAATTTAAGTGATTTTTCAAAGGTCACAAAAGTAGTAAATGACAGAAATGTTTTTTTTCCTGCAATTGACCCCAGAGCTCTTTCCACTACACCACATGTACCCCATTATAGACTTCTTACTTCTATCAGAAAAGATGGGTAGAGGAGGCCAGGCATGCACATAGACTCCATCCCTGTATTAACCCATTAGATTCCCATAGAAAAAGCTTTGTGCTTTGGCCATGGATTGCTCCCCCAGATCCCAGATTATTTTCTTGTAATAAAAGTTATAAATCACAAAGTCAGAGGGTCAAGACAATGTGATGCCTCCTGTGTACGTGGTCCTGTGCTGCTGGTTGTGTGCATAGGGGAGGAGGTACATAAAGGAGGATAAGATGCAGTCCCTGCCCCCATGGGATGACAGCATGTCAGGTGGGGGAACCTTTGTGCATCTTTCATAGCATCACTTGGTCCTCAATTCTCCATGTTCTCTTTGATCCCCAATTAGGATTGGATATTTAGCTTGGAGAACACTAGGAGTGGGGGTGGGAGAAGGAGGAGGATGGGGGCAGCCTTGAAGTATTTGATGAACTGTCAGGTTCTGTTTGGCCCTAAAGAGTTAATAATCTACTTTTCTGGGGAAATAGCTTAAAGCCAGGCCTTTGCATGGCTAGCAGAGCCATTTTTGGAGAATGCTATACTAACAATATCAAAAAATAGTGATGAGACACATAAAACAATAGGAAGAGTAAACCTTGCTCTCTTCTCCTTTCCACCATTGTTACTGAGCTTAACACAGTGCCTGGCACGTAGTAGGTACTTAGGAGATGTTTATTGATTGGTTGGTTAGCTGAGCTGCGTGTTACCAGAAAAAGATGTCTTTAATTGTTAGATAGATACCTGTGGACAGTCAAATACAGTTTTGTTTGTTTGCTTTTCTCAGTCAGCATAAAAATGGATGGAAAAAAGTAGACAGGCCTACCTTCTTCCTTCCACAGATTCAATGCCAGAATGGTAAAGCAATGTACTGTGGTAGAAAGACTAATGCATTTCACAGCAGGATATGAGTTCAAGAGTAGTCTCCATAAAGTACCTTTACCATTTTGCTTCCAATGCATGAAGTCAACAAGCATTAATTGAGTGTCCAGTATGTTTCCGGGACTGTGCTAAGTCCTGGGGATACAGAGACAGAAAAGCAGTCCCTTTCCTCAAGGAGCCTCCATTCTAATGGGAGAAGACAACATATAAAAGGAAAGAAAAAAGTGAGAGTGGGGAATAGGAGGAGTGTACCCTAAAGGGCAATGAAGGAGTGAATATGACTGATGGAGGTACTTTCTTTAAAATGTAAGTTGGCCAATCAAAGGATTCAGTCCTAGGAGCAGAGGGATCTTCTGGAGTGAGAAGGCTAGGTAGTCTCTTCAAGGCACTTCTCCCACATTTGTTATCATGCCTTGGCATTAGCCATGCTCATTTAGACAGTTATGGCATAGTTCTGGAAAGCTGGATGTAATATATACCCTTAGACCTCTAACTATGGCAGGGTTACCAATTTTTTTGCCCTCAGTGCTAAAAAATCAATTCCCCCACAGGTATAGAGGGAGCAGAGAGGTATACACACGTAAGAACATGGCAATAGGGTAGGGTAACCGGAACACCAACACTAGTTCCCCACACTCAGGGACCTCTTTCTTTCCTTGTACTTAATCCCTGGCTTAATTACTAATACCTGTCTACTTTGGCAAATAGGACTTACTCACACTTTCACTAAGGTCCAGGAAGTGGTAGATGGGCATCTCCTTTTTTTTCATAGATCTGATAATTATCCTCCAATTCAGGTCAAGGATGGATAAGGAGTATAGAAGTGAGAATGATGGATAGCTCCTGAATCATAGTGCTGGAGGATCATGGCATGCCTGTGCCAAAGGATCCATAGAGGATGCTAGCTAGATCAGGTCCCTTCATTGATAAATGAAGAAACTGAGGCCCAGAATGAGGAAAAAACCTGTCCAGTATCTCACAGCAATTTGGTGGCAGAATTCTGTGCTTGAATGATGTGTCTGAGCCCAAGGTAAGGAAAAGCATGGGGTTGCCCCAATATGAAGTAGAATCCTTGAAATGAGGACCTGGCCATCCATCCTGGCCTTTACAAGGAGGCCCTTAGGACCTCCCTCCTCAGAGAAAGAAAGGCTTGGACAGGGGACCTGGCATATGAGGACCTACAGAGCAATGGGTCTTCATGTCAGCAGGGATGACACGGGCTCTCGCCCTAGCCACTGCAGAGAACAGTTGGGGAAGCCATTTGATTAGGATAAAGGCATGGCAAGAGTCCAATCCCTTCTTCTCATTGTCTGGGTCTCCCCTAAGAGCTGCAGGAGGCAGTCGTTAGGAGCCACATATGGACACAGGAGTGGGGTGAGGGTGGTGTCATGCGGGGGTCTATGCCCTTTCACTTTGGCCAGATATGGCCTGGTAATGAAGTACTCCCTGCTGCTACCCACAACTACGCCCTCCCCTCCCCCATCCATGGTGCTATGAAGACCGTGTGGGCACACACTCACCTGGCCCCGGATCAGGAATGCTACCGTAATCTCCAAATTGAACTGTCTTTGTGCTTCAGCAAAGATCTTGACCCTTTGCCACTTCTCCTCCCCTCTGCCTAGGCCAGGTCTCACTCACCATTAGCAGGAAGAAAGAGAGATAAGTATCTGGCGTGTTGCCTCTTTGCCAACATGGCAGCGGGGGGTGGAAGGGAGAGGCAGGTGGATATGTCAAGTGTCTCAAATCTCTACCTCATCTCCCCCCACCTACCCACACCCACACATACACACTTGGGGCCTCTGGACTGGCTAGACTTTGCTTAACTACTTAACAACGACGATGATGATTAGTTAATCTTGGAAGCTATCTGATGGTCCCCTGGGGTAAGCTTCTTCCCCATCCTGCATGGCAAGGGGTGCTCTGTGCCTCTTTAACTGAAGACACCTTCTGTACCTCTTGCCTAGGGACAAAAATTCCTAGTTTTAGCTCTGTGTGTTTTCCTTTCAAAAAGACCTATAAACATGCTTTTGTGGGTATGCAGTGCATATCCATGGAAGAAAGAAATCACAGAAATTCAAGTGTGAAAAAGAAGGACAGGGGGAAATGGGCTATAATAGCATCTATATAGCACTTTTAATGTATGCGTGTATATGTGTGTGTGTATACACATATAATCTCAGAAAGAAAAGATAAACATCTTTAAAAATAAAGATCTTCCTGTTTTTCTATACTGAATTGGGTTGTTTTTTTGGGGGGGTTTTTTTGGTGAGGCAATTGGGGTTAAGTGACTTGCCTAGAGTCACACAGCTAGTAAGTTTCAAGTGTTGAGGCCAGATTTGAACTCAGGTCCTTCTGACTCCAAGGCCGGAGCTCTATCTACTGCACCACCTAACTGCCTCCATCGAATTAGGTTTTTGATGAAAAATGTTAGGTTGAAAGAACAGTTGGCTGGTTGGGGCCCAATCAGAGACCCTGAATGTCTCAATCAGTCCCAGAAGCCTGAATGTCAGAGATGGCCTTAGGACAAAGATTACAAACTATTCGAGCTAGGAGGGTCTGAGAACACCAACCTAGAATACCACCTTTAGAAGGAACCTTAGAGAATATCTAGTTCAGTGCCTTCATCTTTATCAAGACTCAGGATGATTAGGTAATTTGCTCAAGGTCACACAGTTAGTGGAAGAGTGAGGACAGGCACCCGAGCCTCATGGGACTGTTAATTCAGTGCTCAGGCTGTGCCAACATCAACAACCTGTTATTTTCATTCAGAGATCACCCCAGCACCAGCAGCCAAGACAGAGTCAACAGAGCTGGGAGAGAATAAGTTGGGTGTGCTGATCCAGACCCCAGACCCACCCTTCTGCCTGGGGGGAGTTAAACAATGCTACCAGTGCAGGAACAAACATGTTTATTGATAAGTTATAACATCTACAGACTAGAAAGTTCTTGTGTTCTCCCACTCTCAGCTCCCCTGAAGTCTGATTTAGGAGCAAACTTGGTGATCTCTCCTTCTGCCATCATCTCCGTTTCCTCTGACTTCCTTTTATAGATGGATCAGCTGAGCCAAGAGTGGCAGATATTCTAGAATTAGGATGGCATGATCCAGAGTGCACCCTAGAAAAGGACAAATCAAACCAGCGGCCTGGATGAGAAGACTATGTCTAGCACATACAGCAGAGATCTATGAATTTATCGGTGGAAGTATTCATTCCACCTGTATGAATCACAATCTTCTATGCCCTGGCAGATTGTCATTAAGAATCACTATGGCTAAAAAACAAGTAATACCCCAGTGACCAGCCTTGTGGCCTGTCACTGAACCATCTAGGCTCATTCTCAAATGGCAGACAGCCTCTCACCCAGCCTGTAGCTACTCTTTTGTACTTCAGTAGGCCCAAAGATTAAGAAATAGATGGGATCTTAGAAATAATCTAGTCCAATTATCTAATCTTATAAATGAGGAAACTGAGGTCAAGTGACTTGTCCAAGTTCCACACAGTTATTTTACTAAGTGGCAAAGTATGGATTCAAACCCTCTAACACCAAGTCCAGAATTCTTTCTATTGTGCCATGCTACCTGCCTGAAAACTTCGTTGTTACTGGATACAACTCCTCTGATAATACTGTCTGAAGGATATGAATTCTCCTGAGCTGGAAAGATTATTTGAACTGCAGGCTGAGGGTTAAGAGCCTTCCTCAGAGGTAAATAATGCTGCTAAGAACAGAGCAGGATCAGCTGACTGAGACCTGATGGACAGTCAGATCGACAGTGGCCGGGTCTCTATGGCCATGGCAAAGACAGAAATTTGAGGCTATGTCATTGCTTTGATTTCCCCCTGAGTTGCCTGATCAGCTGAAGCTTACACTTGTGTCTGAATTGTTGTGGCCAAGTTCGGTGTTTTGTGATGTATTGGTGTTGGTGGAGGTGATGGGGTTGTTGTTGGTGGCGGCGGTGGTGGTGGTGGGGTGTGTGTGTGTGTGTGTGTGTGTGTGTGTGTGTGTGTGTTTATTAAATGGCCTAAATATATCCAGACATACGGCTTTCTCACGTGAGGCAGCATATGGTTCAATGGAAAGATGATGGGACAGCAGCCATGCTGCTTTTGGACTCTTTGGATCTCTCCATCATGCCCTCCTTCCTCAGGAAACCTATCATTGGGAAATCTCATTATCCTATGAGACTGAGTCTGCTTGGTTCTCACATCTCATCAATATGTTCCTCTAATTGACCCTCTGATTGGAGGGCAGGGCCTTGAGCATCAGGATGGGACTCAGCATAGCTTTCCTCCACATTTCCCATCAGTTACACTGACTTTTGAACTTCACTGGAACTCTTCACCATGTCCCTGTACTTGATTCCTTCTCCACCATTCTCCTTAAGGCTACATCCCTGCTTTTCAGCTTCCTTTTGTGTATTATCTAGAGGCAGCTAGTGGCACGGTGCATAGAATGTCAGACCTGGAGTCAGGAAGATCTGACTTCAAATCCAGCCTCATACAGTTACTAACTGCATAACCCTGAACAAGTCAGTTAACTTCAGTTTACCTCGGTTTCCTTGTCTTTAAAGTGGGAATAATAGCATCTACCTCCCAAGGTTACTGTGGGGATCAAATGAAATAAATAATTGTAAAACACTTAGCATAATGCCTGGCACATAGTAGGTGCTACCTAAATTCATTATTATTATTATTATTATTATCTTCCCCCATTAGATTGTAAGCTCATTGAGGGCAGGAACTGTCATTGCTTTTATTTGTATCTGCATTTCCTACACTTACCAGAGTGTCTGGTTCATAATAGGTGTTTAATAAATGTTTATTGATTGATTGATTTGATTTGGGAATCCAGAGCATGAAATTCTAGTCTCAGTTCGATTTGCTATGTGACTTTGGGTAAGTGGCTTTCCTTCTCTGTGCCTCCAAGATCAATATTCTTTCCCCTTCACTAGACGGCCTCACTAAAACAGCAGTATCAAGGACCACCAGAATGTCTTACTCACCTGGATAGGAATCACTTTCATTTCATCATATCCAAAGTTCTTAAAGGTAGACAAGAAAATTCCATTTCGCAATAAACCTTAAGCAAAGCACATGTGTTTGAGCAGGAGAAGAGGGCCATCCCCAGGAATCCACCATTTGCACTTTAGGAATCTTGGCTTCTTAGGACAGGCCCTGAAAGTTCCACAGTGGAGGTATCCTCACTCCCACCAACGTGGGCCTGCCTGATACCCTCCTTTCCCAGCTTCCTAGGACCCTTCTCTCCCTATTCATGCCTTTGAGCAGCTCATGAGAAAGGTACCACCTTTTGACATCTTTCTTCTGTTTCAAGCCCCTTGCCGACTCCCCGTGCCTACAGGATAAAATCTTCTACCTTTGCTTGATCTGTTCCCTGTGGAATTTCCTTTCTTTCCCTTGTCCACTGTGGGATTCCTACCCCTCCTTTAAAACCCAACTCAAATGCATATTCTCTAGGCAGGTCTCTGATCTCTCCTTTCCCCTTTACCATTTCATAAAATATATTCTTCCTTAAATGTCACTTAGCATCTTATTTGACTCTCTAATGCACTTACATAATAAGTGTTGCATATTGTAGCTATCTAGCTTTGTATTTTATTCCATGCTAAACTATGAGTTCTACAAGGAGAGGAATTATATCTTAATGCTATTTATCTGCCTTAACACGTAGGACAAGGACCTTTGTACAATATGCACTTAAAAAGTATTGATTGGCATGTGAGGCCCTTCAAAATCTGGTACAATCTCCCTCCATCAATTTATTTCCAATCTTAGGTCCCAATTATTTGACCTACAACCATTACACATACATTCTCTCGCCTCCTGGCCATTGCTCAAGATGTTCCTCTCCCACTGCTCCTGCTTTCTCTCTAACTCTACCTATCCTTCAAGGTCCAGCTAACATTTTGCCTCCTGCAGGAAGCCTTCTCTGACTACCCTGGCCATGACAGGCTCAACCTCCTCTAACCATCTTGAGTAGCTATGCTTACCGTTCTGGTTTGGCAACAACACAGCGAGTAAGATTTCATTTATCACGTTCTCCATAAGTTCAGGCTGCAACAAAGAAAAATGAAGGCTTACACTCTTGCCCATGCAGTGATTCTTCTCCATAGCCCTGTAGGCTTCAGATAGACCCAGAGGAAACAAGTGAGAGAGAATATGTATGAGGGATTTGATGGGGTGGGCAGGAGGGGAGAGTGAATGATTCAATGAAGCTTATCCCTACTGCTACCTACCCTACCTCAGGTGCTGCCCCTTCCACAAAGGCTCTGATCCCTCCCTTCCTCCTCAGTTTTCTCATAGCCTTTGGACTGGCCTGTCTTTTGTCCTCATCACACTCTACCTTGTAAATGCTTATTTGTACACACATAGTATAGACTATAGGCTCCTTAAATGGCAGAGGCCGTGCCATTTAGTATGTTTGTGCAGCCCAGTACCAACCACATAGTCCTAAACATAGTAGACACTTAAATGTTCGTTGGATTGAATTGAAGTCATGACCTTGGTCTTGTGAATCATAGACTGTCAGAGTATGCAGGGTCCTTAAAGATCTATCATATAAGTGAATTAGAGGTTCAAATAAGGTTCTAAGTGACATTTGAGGGAGAATATAGAGATCTAGAGGTCTAAGTGTCTTATTTTAGCAATGGGGACACTATGACCCAGAGAGGAATGCTCCCAACTTCACTGAGGCCAAATCTCCATGAACAATGTGAGCCAGCTTGATGAGGATAGGAAAAGCCCTGCCTGGAAGAGTTGTAGGTTCAAATCCCAACATTTGGACAGACTGATCTGGGTATAGTGTCCTTAGACAAGTAGCTTTCTTTATCTGGGGCTCAGGTTTTCCCTATCTTAACTTCCCCTCCCCACCCCATGACCTAGATAAAAGCTCCTTTGGCATAAAGCTTCCCACGTCAAGTTAAGAAGTCACCACAGTTAAGAAGTCACCATAATTTGACCTGAGAAGTCCAGGACCTGGAATTGGCTTAAAAAGACTTAATTAAATGACCTCTAAGACACTGTCCAGATTCAATGGTCCATGCTTTTCACTCTAAGTAGAGAATATAGACAATGGTTTACATAAGTCAGACCTAAAACCCCATCCAAGAAGAAGTACTTTTGTTTGTTCATGTTCACAACATTTGGACAATGGTCAGCACTCAGGACTTGGGGTGGAATGGAATTGATCCAGATGCATGGTCCCCAGAACCTGAAGCGCCTGGGCCATGATGTTGTCTGGAAAAAGCTGGTCTTAAACAATCATTGAGACTTCTGTGTTTTTCTTGAATGAGTCCATTTTTAGGGAAAAGGTATTTTGTCCCACTGTGACTCCAGCCCAGGCTCTCACTCTAGTCTCTGATGGGGGCTGGAACTAACACTGACCAAATCAAAGACTTACACTGAACAAGCCTGTTCCCGAGTTCATCAGATGGATATGTTCAGAGCTGTAACAGAAGAGCCAATGTCAGGATAATCTCTGAGGACGGGAACTATGACTTATTTAAATTTCCAATGTCCCTCAATACCTGATACAGTGATTTACAGAGAGAAGGTATTTAATAAAGTTTTGTTGGATGAATAAATGAATGAGAGAAGTTTTATGTTTTTACCTGATTCCTTTGAGGTTGAGAAAGAGTCTGCTCCCTTCAATGTAGAACTGACCTTCAGAGCTGGCTTCCTGTAAAAAAAAGTCATCACGATTTGACTTGAAAAGTTGGAGACCTTGAGTGAAAGCAACTTTTTAAAAATAGGAGATTAAAGGGCAGCTAGGTGGCATAGTGGATAGAGCCCTGGAATCAGGAGGACCTGAGTTTAAATCCGGCCTCAGACGCTTGACACTCACTAGCTGTGTGACCCTGGGCAAGTCACTTAACCCCATTGCCTAGCCAAAAAACAACAACAAAAACAAACAAATAAAAATAGGAGCTTAAGGGGCTAAGGAGGCAGGGGGATAGCCTCCATAGGAGACTAAGGCAAAGGTCGAAAGTTCAAGTACCACATCAAGAAGTCAGCTCCTATCCTGTCTTCAGATGAATTAATGGTCATAGAGGCATTTTGGAGAGTGGCAAAAAAGAAGGAATCTTAGATTTAGAGTCAGAGATCCTGAGTTTGAATTCTTACTCTTCTACTTACTGCTTATGTGACCCTGAGCAAGTCACTTTACCTCTCTCAATTTCCTCATCTGTCAAATTACAGGAGTGGACTAGTCAACCTGTAATATCTCTCTTCAAGCTCCACCAGTCAATGCTCCAATGTCCTTCACATCTCTGCTTACCTGAGCAATACTGGAAGTCACCTAGCTTCCCTGAGCCTCAGCTTCCTTATCTATAAATGACAGGGTTGAGCTAGATGATTTCTAACTTTTCTTTCTAATTCTAACTCTATGATTCTATGTTATAAATGTTCCCTCTTGCTTTGACATTCCCTGTTCTCTGTTCTAAGGTCCCTCTCAAAATTGATGTGCAAGGAACCATGAAAAACTTTGACAACTTTGCCGATGGGCTCTGAGATGATCAAGACTGTTGGCCATACTACTTACAATGCCCAAAGTGAAAAGAGGCTGGGCGGCTTGGTTGGTAGCGAACACCTCAAATACAATCAGCTGGGCTATACTGGCACTGCCAGCTTTCAGGATGATATCTGGAGGTTCCTGGGTGAGGATCTTCACAATCTGGGTCGGTTCCAACTGTACGGAAGCCTATAACGATAACAACTCATGCACATCTAGACTCACAGTATCTACAGCCTTTCTTCACAACAACCTGGTGAGGTATGCAGCATGTGGATTTATTATCCCCCTTTGAGAGATGAGTCTATTAGGGCCCAGAGGAAAAATGACTTAATTTTCCTTAAAATCCTCTCAATGGATACTCATAGCCACTCTGTGAGGAATGCAGGACAAGGGTATGATTATTTCCATTTTGCAAGTGTGGAAAGTGAGACTCAGAGTAGGGTTCCATAAGGATGACTCTATACCCTAGAGATGGGTAGCTCCAGGAACCTGGATCACTGGAAGCAAACCTGGTAGCATCATTTTCAGAGGGGAGCGTACGGGCTTAGGACACAAGGAACAGGAGGATAAATTGTGGGATAGTACATGGAGAGGACTTGGAAGATGGGGAAAGTGAGAATATGTTGGAGAATATGTTATTTTCTCTACTGGTTTGGGGACTATAACTAACTTCTGATTTTTTACATAAAGGTACAGGAGGAGGAGCCATGGATACTCCCTCTACCTCCCCTCGCCCCAGCAGACAATCCAAAAACCATTTCCAAAGGGAAAACTTAATTAACTGCTGCTCTCCCATCTGAAAGCCCCCACTGAGTGCATTTGTCCTACTTGCTTTGGTTTCCAGAAGAGGAAAAAAATGAAAAAAAAAAAAACAAATAAAAATCAAGCTGATCTACGATGGAAAGAGCACTTGGTTTAGAATGGAAGGAAATGAGTTTGAATTTCAGCTCTCCAACTGTGACCCTGGACAAGTCATTTCCCCTCTCTGGGCCTCAGTTTCCTTATCTGTAAAATGAAAGAGTTGGACTAAAGTATCTCTACCATCTCTTCTAATTCTGGTAGTCTGTGTTCTAAGAGTTTTTTCCAGGATTAAACCCTCTGCTCCTAGTTAAAAAACAAAAACAGCTCAAGAAAGGTTGGGTTTATTTTGAATTCTCTCCCCTTTTCCATCTGTAGTTTCAGCCTAGATGGAAAGATTTGTGCTCACAAAGATGGTCCTAGGAGCCTCCAATAGGAAACAAACATTTCTATATCATTCTTCAACTTCAGAGTATATGGAGAAAAAGGGGACTCCAAATACCTTTTTCACTACAGAAAACTCTCCCTATGGCAGCTGAATCCCCTAAATCACCCTGTTCTGCCAGAGACCCTTTTCCTCCCATTATTAATGGAGATTGGACTTGAATTGCTTCCATACATCCCAGTTAGGTTGAAGGCCTCTGGAATTACAATTACGCAGATGACAAGTCACTACTTTGCATTGTTTTGGAAGGGAGGCTAATAACTGCATTTAAATTAAACTTCCTTCTTCTCTAGTTCATTCGTTCCTGCCTAGAATTTTTCCCTCAGATCCCCAACCCATTATCTATACAATACCCATCATTATGATAGAGGAAAAAGAACCTTGGATTTGGAATCAGGTGGCCTGGGCTTGCATCCTGGATTGCTCCACCATTTTAGTGTGAGCTCTTTATAAACCTTAAAGTGCTATACAAATGCTAGCCGTTATATGAACTTGGGTAAATCACTCCCCCTCCCCCACCAACGCACATTCTCTCTCTCTCTCTCTCTCTCTCTCTCTCTCCCTCTCTCTCTCTCTCACTCTTATCTAATCCTCAACTATAAAAGGTGGATAACACTTTATCTGTACTACCTACTTCACAGGGCTACTATAAGGAAAATGTTTCCATTTTTGGAGCCAAGATCTGCTGTCCTTTGTCACTTCTACCAACCGCTCTGCTTCTAGCTCCACCCTCAGTACAAGCCTGCCCCTTTTTCTTCATGATAGCCCTTCAGAAATTGGACATTACTGACTGTCCTTGAAGTCTGTCCTAACTTCCTTCCTTTCCTTCTCCTACTTTAGCTAAACACCCCCAGTTTTTATAACTATTCCTCATGTAATTATGGCTCATCTATGTAATACCAGCCAGCACAGGTTAGTCTGATTCTTCTATCTATGAACCAATTTGTGTGTGTGTATGTGTGTGTATGTCTTCAGAAGCAATGGTCATCCCTCTGAAAGTTTTGGTGGACAGCAGTACTTCTGGAGAGGGAGGCAGAGCTGAGAAGATACTGAGCCCAGAGAATGGGGCCTTAAACATCCCATTAGAAGGATCTCTTACACAGGGACGGTTGATTGGACCCTGGCTCCTTGAGCTGATCCCATCGGGGAGCAATTGCAGACAGACAGACACTTTAATTAAGAGATGTGGAAAATAATACAAAGAATAGACTAACCTTTGTGTTAATTTTGTTGAGGATTGATTTTAGTTGACGAGCCAACTCAGGAAGCTAAGGATAAAAAGAGACCAAAGATTGTTAGAAGTTGAGTGATACCAGAAAACTGCTTTACTGATTGTGTGACCATAGGAGGTCCATACCCGTCTCTGGGCCTCAATTTTCTCATCTATAAAATGAGGGTGAGATTCTCTAAGGTGTCATCTAATACTCAGACTTACGGCAATAACGAATTAATGGATGAATTGGAATGGAATGGAAAATAGAGAAAGGAAAATCAATTTTTTCAGTTACAAGGAGATCAAGGAGATAGTATTCTGGACAGTTCCTCATTCTTGGAGCTAGAAATAGCTCACAGGAGAAGAGTTAGAAGGCAACTCAAAGGCTGTATGGTTCAAACCATATACGAACATGAATATTCTCCAGGGCATACTCGTCCTTGCTGCTTACTCATAACAGCAATCCAAGGTGCAATTGTGAAGTCCTGGTGCCTACTTTGTATCCCACCAGTCAGGCAGTGGACAAGCATTTATTAAACATTTACTAGATGTAGGGCATTGTGCTAAGCTCCAAGAAGAGAAAAAAAGGTCAAATAACAGTCCTTGCTCCCAAGGAGCTCACACTATATGATGAGGGAGATAACATGGATATAAGTAGGTAGAATAAATAGCAGGAAATCTCAGAGGAGAAGGAACTCGAGCTGGGAGGACTGGGAAAACTTCTTGCAGAATATAGGATTTGAGTTAATTCTTGAAGGAAACTGGGGACATGAGGAGGCAGCACTTATGAGGGAGACCATTCTAAGCATGGGGGACAGCCGGTGCCAAAAGCACAGATACAGGAATGGAGGGTCCTGTGTGAAGATTAGCACTTAGGCCAGTGTAGTTGAACCATGAAGTGTACAGAAAAGAGCCACATGCAAAAAAGAGTAATGTGTAAGAAGGAATAGTGACGTACAAGAGTAGAAAGAAAGGTAGGAAGCGACTTGGTCACAAAGAACTTTAAATGCCAAACAGAGAACTGGAGTTTATTGAGTAAGAGAGTTACATGGTTAGATCAACACTTTAGGAAAATCACACTGACAGATGAGGGGAGGATGGCCTGGAGTGGAGAGATATTTGAAATTTGATAGCAATTAGAAGATTATTGCAGTAATCTAGGCGTGAGGTGATGAGGGCTCTGTATACCAGGGTGGCAGCTGTGTGAACAAAGAAAAGGAAACTTATATGAGAAATGCTGGAAAGGTAGAAATGACAATAACATTAGCAATAAATGGGGAGTGAGAGTGAGGGGTTGACAATGATACTAAGGTTACGATCCTGGGTTTCTAGGGGAATGATAGTGCTCTAGATAGTAATAGACAAGTTTGGAAGAAAGGAAAGATTTGAAGGAAAGATAATAAGTTCTGCTGAGTCTGATATGTGACTGAGTATGGGACAGCTGGTTCAAGATGCCTAAAAGACAGCTGGTGATATAGGACATAATTCAGAAGAGAGATTAGAACTGGAGATATAGATATGTAATGTAGAGATAGAGATATAAATATGGATATAGATGTTCATATATGTATATATGTAATATATATACATATTTATAATCTGGGAATCATCTACCTTGAGATGAGCATTGAAGTCATGAATACTGAAGAGATCATCAAGTGATATAATATAGAAGGAAAAGAGAAGAGGACCCAGACAAACACGGAGGACAAACATGATTACCATATGTGATATGGATGAAGAATTAGCAGAAGAAACTGAGAAGGAATGTTCAGACAGGAGGAGTAACAAGAGAAGATGGTACTACAACAGCCTATAGGAGAGAATACATCCAGGAAGAGATCATCAATAGTGTCAAAGGCTGCAGAGAGATCAAGAAGGATGAAGAATGAGAAAAGGTCCTTAGATCTGGCAATCAAGAGATCATTGGTAACTTTGGAGAGAGTAGCTTCAATTGAACAACGAGGTCAGAAATGAGATTTCAGATGATTTAAAAGAAAATGAAAAAAGAGGAAGTGAAAGCAACAAGAATAGATAGCTTTCTCAAGGAATTTAGCTGAGAAAGGGAGGAGAGGTATAGGATTATGGCCTGCAAGGAAGGTAAAATCAAGGGAGGGTTATTAAAGGGTGGGAGAAACTTGGGTGTATTTGCAGGCACCAAGGAAGGAGCCCCTAGACAGAGGCTGACGATAAGAGGCAGAGTAGAGATGATAGTAGGGACAGTCTGCTGGAGAAGTTGAGAAAGGATGGGATTGATAATACACATACAGGGGTAAGGGGGCTTACCCCTCTATGTCTGGTTCAAACCATATATGAACATGAATAGCCTCCATGGCATACTCGTCCATACTGCTTACTCATACCACCAATTCAAGGCACAATTGTGAATAGGTGGCTCAATGGAAAGAACACAGGGCTTGGAACCAGGAAGACTCATTTTCATGAGTTCAAATCAGGATTCAGACAACTGAGTCTGGAGGGGTGGGGATGACATAACACATTTATAAATAAATCAACAGAAAACATAATATGGTAAATTCAAAGGACTACCAATGTTTGTGGAGGGAATAGTCTGATGACAGGAAGACCAGGAGAGGCTTCTTGTAGGAAGTGGCCCTTAAAGAGAGCTTTGAATGGAGCTAAGGATTCCAGGATGCTAAGGTGAGAGAGGTGGACCTCTGGCTACTGGGGACAGTCTTTGCAAAGGCATAGCAACAGGAAATGAAATGTAAGAGGAATAATGAATAATAAGACTGAAAAGGTAGATTGGAGCCAGACTGTAAAGGGTTTTAAATGTCAAGCAGAAGAGTTTGAATTTCATCCTAGAGGAAAGAAGGGACCACCGAACACTCTTGAGCAGGTGAGTGACATAACTGAGACTCTGCTTTCACTTTGATGATTGTGTGGGGGATGGATTGGAGAGGGAAGCCCGTGGAATCTGAAAGCCCAGTGAGGAGACTACCTCCAGGTGAGAGGTGATGAGGGTCTCCATTAGGGTAGCGTCCGTGTGGGTGGAGATTAGGTGAAAGGTGGATGAAATACTGTAGGAGATTTTCTCTTCCTCTCACAATGGAGGGAACTTTAGAAGGGGGTTGTCTTAAAAAAAAAGTCAGTTAGCTGTTGCAGTGGATAGAATGCTGGACCTGGAGTCAGGAAATCCTGAGTTCAAATCTGGTCTCAAGATACTTACTAGCCGTGTGACCTTGGGCAAGTCATTTAGTCTGTTTGCCTCAGTTTCTTCAAGTAGAATGTGGGGATAATAATAGCACCTATCTCCCAGGGTTGTTATGAGGATTAAATGAGATGATATTTGTAAAGAGCTTGGTAAGTGATTAATAAATGCTTGTTTTCTTCCTTTGGCCAGATGGAAAGTTGAGATGGATGCTCTTTTAAGTCTCTTCAAACTCTTCAACGCTCTGATTCCACCCACACATCGTAGGCAGCCCATCCACAAGGCTGGACTTCCTTACCACAGAGTCCAGAAGAACCGTTAGCTCCCTCGGGGGCAGCAGTACCCCAATGGCGGTGTTCACCACATCCTGTCTCACTATGAAACTGAACCCAAAGCCATCCAACCGGGGCACTGTCAGAGAGCTCTGGGAATCATTGAAGACCTTGATCAGCTTTCCTGCTGGGTCCTGAAACTTAGCCTGGGGAGATATATGGGAAAGAGGAAGCTGTGAGGATTCTATTTGTGCAGCCTTCTCAGTCTGAGCTCTGACTGCATCTCTGGGTAGGAGAACGTGGCTGACCTAGGGCTTTCTGCTCCCTTTGTTACCAGTCAGAAACCCACAAGTATGCTATGGGGGCAGCTTTAGCTACTAGGAGCCTCAGAGCCAAGCTCACACCCTAGTTGAAATGATGAGTTGATCAAGAGAGACCTTAGGCACTCAGGTATTTTTCTCCGCAAAATGAAAGGATTGGACTAGATGATCTATGATTCACTCCAGCTCAGGTATTCTCCATTCTAAGGGTTCTTCTAGCTTTGACAGCATATATTCTAGTTTTACGGGCTCACACAGTTCTAACATTCTATGATCTGCATTCTAAGGTCCTTTCCAACTCTGACAATATATGTTCTTTTTTTTCTTTAAGACAGAAAAAAAAAACCAAATTATTCAAGGGGGCCTGAATCTAGATAATCTCTAAAACTATCAAGAGATAATATGGCTTGATGTTCAGAGTGTGCCTTAAAGTCAGGAAGGCCTGGGTTCAAGTCTCATCTCTGATTCATTGGTAGTGTGACCTTGGAGAGGTCACAGCCTTCCAATGCTCTAGGAAACTCTAAGG